GAATGCATAGGGGCAGGGTCCATGGGGCACATGGGAGTTATGATGTGGGTGCATAGGGGATCATTGTGGGTGCATAGGGGATCATGGAGGAGAGGGGAATAAAGGCAGGGTGCATGAGGGTTATGGGGGACAGCGGCACAGGGAGGGCCCAGGGCAGTGAGAGGTGCTGGGAGCCCCTCACACCGTTCCTCACCATCAGCACAGGGCAGGCAGACTGCTTTAATTTTTGAGACCCTGGAGACATAATCTACATGAAGAGCAGCGTTAGCTGGATCACTGCCCACATTTATCCCAAATCCCCATAAATAAGAATTTCCCATGATGTGTGTGCATGCAACCACATGGGAAATTTAAACACGTTGCTAGCATTTATTTTTAAAAGCAGAGCAAAAGCTTTTTATTTGAGGCTTGAGGCTTTTGTTTCTCTTCTTTTCAAATCAGAAGTGTTTCTGGAATCGACACTGAACTGGCTTTGGGGTCTTGTGACCATTCACTTACCTATGTCAGGTTATTTTCAGCAATGGGAAATTATGCATAGCTGGGTAATCAGTACCTTGCTGTCCCATTTTAATATTTTATCCATTAAAACAGATTAGACACTAACCAGCAACAATAAGTATATACACATTTTATAACCATTATGGATTTTTTTTAACCAGCAGAGTACATGCCTTGAATTATAGTGTAAATGATGATTTAATTAGAACTTGGGAAGCTAGCAATAAATTCACTTCAGACAATGAATATTAACAGTGTGTTTAACTAGACAACCACTGTAATTTTCCATCCTGTTTTCCCAGCTGAAGGTAGAAGCCCCCTTTTGCAATTTAGGCAATTTAGATGGGAAATGGTGGTAAGAAGCCCTTTAATTTAGCAAGAATTATTTTGCAACCTGAATTTGTGATCACCTAGGGGGGAAAAAAAAAACACACAGGTCATAATTTAAGGTAGCCTATCAAGCAATTATAGAACCAAGTGCTGCAGCATTTTGGCACATGTATCCCTTTAAAAAGCAGTAGGGGCTTTGCATGAAGAATAGGTTAAAGAATTCCCTGACAGACATCACAATTTCTTCCATTTGGTGTGAAAACCCACTTTTCCACACATGGTTGTTTAGTGGCAGCAACAACTGTGTAATCTGTGCCCTGCAGCTGAAGATCCATCACTCCACGGCTTTTGGGTACTGCCTACCTGCGGCCTATAGGTTGTGTATGTTACTCTCCTGACTTCAGCATACCAAGACAGCTTGAAGCACCCTCAATGCTTGCAGGCAGCTCTATGGTGAAGGAAAACACAGGGCAGCCTCCCAGTTCCATGCACCGAGACCTACTTTAGCCTTTTGGGGCCATAGGAAGCCCCTGGTTTCCAAGCCAACCTGTTTAGATGTGCATCAGGTGTTGGACCATAACATCAAGCATTCCCTGAAGAGCTCCGGGCTTAAGTTTGACACCAAAACAATTACCACAGTCCAGGAATGAGAAGCTGCTGTGCAATGGCTGGAGGATTGGAGCAGAACAGACAAGCACCGTGCCTGGCTGGTGGCTCCTCCAGCTTCTGGGCAGGTTCCTCCAAGTATAGCCAGGCTATATCTACACTTGCTCAGAAGTGAACATCCAAGCAGGACACCACTGCTGTGGTGCCAGAGGCCTCCCATGTGGCCAAGGCTCCCAGGAGTACTGCTCTTTGCAGAGCGCCATCCTACCATGGCCCTGCTCTCTTGGGGAGCATCTAGTCACCCCTCTTGTGGCATGGCTCAGATCAAGCACACTGACCAGGATGCTTCACACAGAACTGTTCTAGTCCCTACTATTCCTCCTGTAAGTGCACACGTGGTACCTGTTGTGTTACAGGCAAGTGATACCCATTAAGTAGATGTCAGTGCAGCGCTCTGCACTTCTCATGGCTCAGCCCAACACTGGGGCAAACCAGACCTGCAAGGTGAGCTGGGGCTGGCCAAGCTGCAGTACTGCCTGCACCAGCAGCCTGCCACCAAAACCAGCTTGCAGCAGCAGCAAAGCACCAGCTCCAACAGCTGCCGTGCAGGTGCTGGCTTCCTTCCTCCTCTTGGGAGGCCACTGCAGGTCCTTGGCTCCCAAGCAGGATGAGTTATTTCCTTGTCAGGAAGAAGGGAACTGGGATACATTCTGCCTTTGAAGGGGGGTGGGCGGGTTGTGAGAAAACAGAGACAAATATTTGCATTGAGTCAGATCCAGATGCATCTGTTCATGTGCTATGGGCATGGTTTCAGGTGTAGAGCAGTGCTTTCGAGAAACTTGCCAACTTAGAGCCCTTCAAAATATTTATTTCCCAGTTCAACTTGCCTGCTGGGAAGGTTTCTCCAAGTGCTTCAGGGTATAATTACACTTTCTCCAAAAGCATCTTCCTTCTGCACACTTTGCTAGTAGCGACCATCTTCCATCCCCCCTGCTCCCCTTTATTCCTTCTTCCTCCCTCACCTCTTAAAGCTTCAATGAGTTTCCGAGCACAGCTTCCCAGAAAGGTTATCATCTCATGCTTAATAGGGGGGAAAAGGTGCAAGAGATTTACTGCAAATGGGAGCCATTACTGGCACAGTTATCAAATGAAAGAACAATATAATAATGTCTAGTCATAAAGATATGAAAAGCTGCCTGTCAGATGCAAACACTCAACTTGTAGACATTAACTGTGAAGCTGCTGCAGTCCAGCGGTGAGAGAAAAGCAGAGTTAAATGCCCAGGTACTTCAGATATCCAGGCTACAGCACTGGCATCAGTTGGTCTAAGTTTAGACCAACTGGGGATGGCATGTTGGACACTTTCCTGGAGCCTGAGATCTGCATGAGACCGAGCTGACCATGACAAGCGGGGCCTCCAGCTTGGAAAGGTGCCCTGTGTCCACAGTGAAGTTCCCTGGTGTTTATTTAGGCATTAAATGTCACCAAAAGCTAGAGCTATCTTAGCTAAGCTATAGCTTGTTGAGGCCACCAACCCCAGCTTTTGAGTTAAGCATTAGCTAACCGAGAGCAGATGGTTCTGAATTTTGTCCACCTTTTGACCCATGAGGTCAGCCCACAGTTCAAAACAGTGATTTTAGTCTAGCATATTGACACATTTCTTATCATCCCCAATTCTACTCTCCCCCAAACAGTCACAGTAACTCTTTGAGGCTCATTCAAATATCTATTAACCATTCTGCGGGGTGAGGGGACAGACCCACACACATTTGCCAGTAAGATACGAGTGCCCATTACAGAGCAGGAACTCACTTGACACCTTCTACTAATATTACAGGTAACACATACATTCAGCCAGTAACACGAAAAACCAGAATCTCCAAAGTGAATTACAGCCTCAATCCAGAGAAAGAACATTTATGTCCAGGCTACTTTAACATTCAGCCGCCTCTACTTGAGAAGGTCATGGGATAAAAAGGGACCTTCCTGGGACAACCATGTGCTATTTCAGGAGGTCATTTTTCCAGGCCTATCACTACCCATGTAAAAGTACATTGTAGGGCCAATGCCAAGCAGCAGGAGTCACAAGAATATGGAGCTCATTGCAAGAGGTTATTACACTAAAACAAGAACTCCAGAGCATTAGAGTTCCTCCTTATCTCTGCAGCTAGCCCACAAGTGCTACTACAGTCTGATGAAACTTGAGGGGAACACTTAGTCTGACCACCCTCTCAACATCTTGCAGGACAAGAGAGTACTAATTCAAATTTATAGGTGGGTGCTCAAGACCGTAGTCATACAAGCTGTCTTATGTGCTTACCTACCTTCACTCATTGCAGAGGAGCTCCACAAATGATGTTAAACAGCACAGTTGTCTGCAGGATCCAGCTAAAGCAGCTTTCCCCACTAAGCTCCCAAAAAATATCAGAGTAGAGATTGCAAATCAGCTCACATCCAGCTGCAGTTTTCATGCTTTTACTCTCCCATCCAGTCTTCATCTTCCTCAGAATCAGGATCTCCAGCAAGCACCTCCCACCCAGGCCAGAAACACAAGGAGGGTACAGAGCAAGAGGACAGCAGCATTACAGCATGAAGACCATATGTGCAAACTGCTTGGGGAGCAAGGATTAGCCTAAGTATCCAGCAGACAGCTTACATCCACTATCTCCGGCTTTCCTTACCGCCGGACTTCACTGCTGCCACTCCCAAGCTTGCTCATGCCAAATTAAGCAGCCGGCCAGGTGACCAGGATGTTCTCATTGTATAGAGCCTATTGTGCAAGCAAGGTATGAACTTTCTCCTCATTTCCTGAGAGAGGCCAAACCTAGACCTACCCTTATACGTGCTGAAAGGCAGCTGCTCTAGTATGGCAAGAAGGCAGCTAGGTTACACAAATGCTTTTGAAGAGGGGAAACCAAACATCACAAGACCAGAAGACAACTAAAAGGTAGGAGGTTTTTCAACATCCAACTAAAACCTGTTTAGCAAGCAGTCAAGTGCTTGCTACATAGGTTCTGCAGAGACTTATAGGCAATTTAATTTGCTCACAAGAAAAAAGTTAGTAGATAACACCCAACACTGCATCCCACCATTCCCTCCACACATGGCCCCTTAACTACATCTTCTTTTGCACCCGAGAAACAGCCTGGTCAAACATCATCAAAAGGACACACACCTGCAGGACTAGCTCTGGGTTCTGCCTACTACGGCATTGCAAAAATCCAGGTTACTCTTCCATCAAAAACAAAAAGAAGAAAGTTCTGAGCCTTCTTCCTCCCTTATAAGATTTAGAAAGAACAGGTTAAATCAGTCAGAAGTCTTTTTCACTTTTTCCAGTACAAGTTATTTAAGTTTCAAAATTAAGCAGCCAATGCCACACCAGTACTGCGGCCTGCAAGTGTGCAGGCACTTTGCAGACACTCAAATTCTCCAACACAGAGGCACCAGCTCCAGCACCTCAGTCTTCTTTCCCCTGAAAATGACTTACTTGTAGCAGTAGAATCAATTCTTCATACCTCCTTTCCTGCCACTCACATGCATCTTCTGCCTCCAAGCTCTGCTAGAAGCCAGCTCCACCTTCTCCCTTTCAAAAGAGGATTATGGGCCTTCTGCAGTCTTTTATAGCTCTGCCTTCCCAGCAAATAGGCCTCATGTGCACCAGTCCCAGGCTGTCCAGGTGCCCTTTAACCCTTCATGGTCTGTCCCATGAGAATCAGTAATGTATTTGTTTTGGTGTCTAAGAATAGCCTTGACACTAATACCTGTTTTTAAACAGCCAGGAGATGTATTCCTGATTTCTTTAGCTGTATCAGCAGAACTAGAGAGAGGTTTGAAATCTCTGTGGAGTCTGCAGTAGCATCTGCTCTGCTGAAACATTTGAAAAATGTCTTGTTTGACACAATCCAAGGGATTCCAAAACCAGAAAAGTTGCTCTTTAGAATCATCTTCTGGAGAAAAAGCTTAAGGGTCCTCTTACAGGGAGTCTGGCTGTCTGCCAAGATGGAAAGGACAAAAGGAAGCTTCCCTTAAATTGAAATTTTGGCTCAACCATTCAAGTTACAGAGGGACAGTGTTGCCTGAATATCAGATTTTTGTTGATGAACCAGCTTCTGCTATTGCTCTGTGCCAAAAAAAAAAAACACATATTTTTGTAGCCAAGGACTATGAACCACTGAACCACATTTTTTATTATTATTATTTCTAGGTTGTCAATCAAAAAAAGAGAGAAAAAAAAGAGGAAAGATGGAAAACAAGTGAGGTTTTCCAGTTAAAGCAAGGGTGTAGTTAGTGATGAGATGTGGCTACAGGAATAAGATATCTGAGCTTGCACTCCTTGGAAATAAAGAGAATTTAAAAAATTAAAAATATTGAACTCTGATGAAAGTAAAAAATGCCTGATTTTACCCCCGAAATGGCCAGGACTATTGATTTCCTATAGCAACAATATGTCTCACTGGTGGTATGTCTTCTGGAATCATGTGCTGAGGCACCCAACTGCAAACTATCAAGCTAGCAGGAGAATCTGGCAAAAGTAACAGGGCGATAGATGACTCCAAAAAGTCTACTACAGAGATTGAATAGTCAGCCCTTCTAAAACCTGTGGGCATTAACTCCAAGCCTGCCTTACAGCCCCAAGGTCTCTGGAGAGCCTCTTATTAACCTGCGTCGTCTTTGAAAAAAGCTACTTGCTGGACCTGATGAAAGAGTTGCACAAGCTCCCCTAGTTTCTGGACAGACAGTCAGCCCAGAGCAGAAAGAAACTCCAGTAGCAGATGAGTTTACACTGAGCCCTAACTAGGTTCTCAGCTGTAATGGCAGAATAAGGTGGTGCTTTAATAGAAAATTAGAAAGGAAAATGATTATTGAATTTTACTACAAACCCCCAAGGCAGAATGAGGAGTAGGATGTAAAAATGTTCAAGGAAATTCAACTGGCAATAAGGAAGGGCAGAGTGTTAATAACAGCAGGCTTAATTACCATAACTTACAATGGGTGCACCCTGTAATGATTTTCAAGTATCATTCAACTGATCACAACAGGTTTGACCCACTGCTTCTTAAATAAACTGCTGCAATTATTAATATGCATGTATTATCAGGAGCTGCCAGAAACAGCAACTTGAGTATGTTATTGCTGAACAAAAAATATGGATACAAATCTTGCCCTTAATTTTATGTATGTAGGTTATGGACCAAGAAGGAGCTCAAGGATGTGAAAGTGTTGATGCAGCATCACATGAGTGTATGAGCAGGTGGAGGTGTGCAAATCTTCATGTCCTTCAGAGTGATTTAAAGAGGTCAAACACACCTTGTTTCTGCTCCAAAGAGACCAGATTATTCTTCCTCGCTTAGCCTCTTGCATGGTTTTGACTACATTGTATGAAAGGGGTCAGTAATCCAGCCATCCATCAGACCGGTCAGCCCCACCACCTCAGGTCTGCGGGGAGAACTGGTCACAGCGATAGCCAGATTTGCCCTCTCCTGAATAAGTGTATATTTTTAATCCTGTCCTTTTGCAGCCTGGAGGAAGAGCGCAGACTCCCTCTGCTCCTTGCTTCAGCACGGCAGAGGGCATGCATTAGCCCTGAGTAAGGAATCTTGAGAGACGCAACCATCTGGCTGTCATTAGTTTGATTTGATTTGATGAAATTGGACAAATGTAACAATTAGTATAGCAAAAACTAATAATTAAAAAAAAGATGATGATTGAGGATGGATGAGTTTTTAATTTTGTGCATGAATGAAAGAACATGTTAATTAAAATCTAGGGTTTATTTATTTGTTATTCTTATTTTGCAGCAAGCTGCTCCAAGGTCCCTGAACCTGGCTGACAGCTCACGTCTTTGTACTGCAGCCCTTAAATTCTTTCACACTAGATTTCTCCCTCTCTCCTCTCCTCCTTCCCTCCACTGCTGTTCTTCCACACCTGCTGTCTGACAGCTCAGCCATCAACCGGAGAGCTGGGTTTGTCTGCAATAATGTGCAAGGGGTAGCTAAGGAAAGACCCTCAATTTGTGGTGTATTTATTCCTCGCGTATTAAAGATTATTGTCTCAAAACGCTCATGTTTCAAATCCAAATGTTACAGATGCAAGAGCCATTCAGCCAGTGTGATGCTAACTAACATTATAGATACCTCTGGGTGGACTAGGGAGTCTAATTCAATAGGTAATCCAGGGGAAGCTTCAAACGGAAACTAACTATACCACAAGAAAATTACTGTAGTCCCCCAATTGCAGAAATAATGCAAGTAACAAATCCTTCAGCGATTTAATCTGCTGTGGGGGAGGTTGCACAGCCTGCTTTGACCTGATTCAGAGAGCCCCAGCACGGCAAAGGCCTTAATGGGACGATATCTCGGCAGCAGCAGTTGGAGGAGGATGAGCTCATGCCAGGTGTTCGGGACGAAGAAGGGTGATCACCTATGACATGGGGCTTGTCTGACAGGTTTTCCTCTGAAATGCTTTTGCTCTGGATAAAGACTTGGCGTTAGGCAAGTTGGATGGTCACCTGTTTAAGCAGAAATAAACTGGACCAGACCTAGACTTAAAAGGACAAGAGGTATTTGCTGTACATGAAATGATGGCTTCAGCTGGAGACCTAATGCGAGTCGCAGGCAATGCCAGGAAAGCTAAGAGCTACAGGGCCTAGAGCGAAGCAAGGAGATTGCAAAGGAGCTGCAAAGAGGCTAAAGGAAACACGGAGTGCCTCGTCCAGCACTTGTTCTCCTTCTATAAAATAGTGCAAGATAGAGAACTCAAAATAGTACAGAAGTGACAGATTCAGAATAACATTTTCTACCTAGGTCTATGTCAGACTGCTTCATGCAGTCACAAAAAACCTTGCGTAAGAGAGCAGAGAGCTGTTAGGCTGTGCCTGAGTCTGAGCCACTAACCTGCTCCGAGTTCTGAAGAGCACTGTGAAGAAGAGTCCCATTTTGTAAGTATTGCAGGTTTAGCCTCTCTCTGTACTGGCTGCCCTAGCCAATCAAGAAAACAGCATTTCAATTATGCCTTACAAACCCAAAGCTCAAAGACTTCACCTTGCTCCTGCTTTTGAGAAGCTATTATTACAAGTCAGGATTTTGGAAAAAGAAAAATTATTCATAGGCAGGCACACTTGTATTTCTTTTGAAATCTCTCTGGGAAAAAAAAGAAAAAAAAAAAAAAGATGAATTGGAAAGTAATTGGAAAGCTCTAGGTCCCTGTGAGTCCTTTCAAATGCAGCCCCCTGACCAGTGCCATTCTGCTAGGAAATCTCATCCCAGTGTGTTCACGTTAGTACCCCGAGAGTCCATGGAGTCAGAAAATTGAACATTTGTAAGAAAAATAGTATGAGAAAAATAATATGGTTATGGGAAAAAAAAAAGTTCTGAGTCATCAGACAGCCCTTGTGTTGAGCTAGCAGAATCCTGCCAGTCTCTTCTCATCTGATGGATTAGGAGCAGCAGATCCTGCCAGAGCAATCAGCAGAGCAACAGGAGAGGCAGCCACAGGCTCTCTCGGGCTGTGCTTCTCATAGTCTCGCCCCTTATTGATCATCATTTAGCACACTGATGTCTAGGTGCATCTCCTGGACATGTGACATCAGACCCACGGGCTGCAGAGCTGTATCCTCATCCATAGGATTGCCTGGGCTCTGTGCAACAGCAAAGTAAACATATAGCCAAAAAGACTCAGATTTGAATAAAAATCCCCGAGAGCCTTGACTTAAATCAACAAATAGGTTTAGACATGTACCCAAATGCTTTATTTTAATTTTTTAATGAAGTTTTAGGACTATCTGCGTGAAATGTTTAAGCTTTCATTTTGAAACTACACTTTTTCTCCATTTCAAAGTAAAAATTAAGAGGGGTAGATGAAGAAGAGGATTAAAGAACCTGAAAATAAAAACAAATAGTTT